AACGGAACCGAAATTTCGGATTTTTGAGAACCGAAACCTAAACCCAAACCGATAAAATCCTAAAGGTTCTAGTCCCTGGTATAAGTAGGTACATCGATATGTACATTTTTACTCCTTACATAGTTGAAAGTATACAAGTATGTCAAAGTCTTAGTAGAGACTATGAATTGTTGTTGCTTATTATTATTATTATTATTATTTAGTGAAAAGTGACACAGTTTTCCATATTATCTATTTAAAAATGGAAGAATTATTTAATAATCGGTAAATGACGTATTTACCGGTTTGTTATTTCGTCCCCCGCAGTATATTCCGTTCAAGGGCCACCGCGAATAAAGCAAGTCTTTTATAGCCATATCGTTATTAATTATTATTATTATTTCAATAGCCATTCATTATAGATTGATAAACAAATACGGTATATTTTATGCATAATTAAATTATTTTTTCACAATACATACTACAAAACTAAATGATTTTTGGAAACCTTTCAAATGTATTATACAACTATATCATATTGTGCATGCGACATGCCTGTTGTATGCAAACAAAAAAATCAATCCATACGTCAAAATGATGAATAGTATATTTTTCATTCTAATGTCGTTATTATTATTATTATAGACTATAGTTTGTATGTGTTTGTGTGTGTGTGTATGTGTGTGTGTGTGTGTGTGTGTGTGTGTGTTTAAAAAAATATTGTTTCTTTTCGCTCCCGTGTTAACAGAATTCGTCCGTTACTGCTAAAACGCCTAAGTTTTTAAGGCAAGTTTATAATAGGCAAAAACCGAGGGAAATTACTACCGGTCGTTTATTTCGTACAAGTCGCTTGGCAAATTGAATACAAACCATAATTAAAACTAAACGTTTACCGGTAAAACGCGTGCGCGGCACGGCAATGACGCATTCGGCGGAGAATGCGAACGACAGGACGATAATGACGTTTCGAGGCGATTAAGGCCTCGGAATAATGTGATTTAACTTACACAAAATTAATGGGTAAAAACAGTATGGATTTACCCGGGATATGCCTTCAGAAGCAACTTTACGCTTTTGATTAATAACAACAATGATACAAAAGCGCGATGATAAAGTAAATAATAATAATAACATTCGCCCGATTTCGCCTCGGACGCCTCCGATTCAACTTGGACGAATAAATACTTACGGGGCATTCGATCAAAAACTAATAACGCAAAATGATTCGATTACTCGGCCGACGAGAGCAATCAACGGCTAATAATATTCTGCTTGGATATTTAATCATCTTTTGTCGGCCAGTATGTGGTATTCGCACTTATACATCGTATTATCCGGAGAGATTTTATCAACACAAGATTATACTCCCCCGGCCGGGTGGTGCTGCTGAGTGCCTACCCACAAATGTTAAATCACCCTGTCACTGACCATTAAATATCAAATTTGCTTATTGTACTTAACGTTGTATAGATTGTGAGTTATTTCAAATATAAAATTAAAAAAAAGATTATACTCGTTATTGTAATAAAATACTTATGTTATTCATAAGTTGATAGCTACAACACAAAACCTCTACTATAGAATATACATATTTGGTATTACCTATACCGCTTTTTTGTCACAACTTTCCAAAGTCAATACGTTCTGAATAATGTTTTATCATGCTTCTTCGTTGTATGGGACCTTAAAATAGACGATTCAATATTTTGAACATTGAAAATGAAATGATGTTATATCATGGTAAAAAAATTTAATTTTGACTTTCGAAAATTACACTTGACCAATAAATAAATAGCTATAACTTATAGTGGTCAGTGATTACCGTAAGTTATATACATATATTAGGTATGAGCAGGGGCGTATACAAGGGGGGGATGTGGGGGTCGGATCCCCCCCCAAAGGCCTTTTTTTAAATTTTATAAAATAGTGTTCTTAATGACTTAATGTAAGGAAATTACAAGGAAAAAAAATGTCAAGGATTTTTTGTAAATTTTTATTTTAACACAATATTCAACAATTAATTAAAAATAATTTACTTAATATTAATCAGTGATCATATATTTATTTCATATTCATATAATCGTATTATGTGATATTTGATAAGAATAATAATATGTGGCAGACCAGCCACGGGCCGTCGCCACCGTCACCGATATCAACGCGGCGGAGACGACGCCCGCATGTCCGTGCATATAATAATACATTTTCCTATACATTAGAAAAAGAAATATTATTATGGTATAATATAAGGTTATTGCACGATGGTTTTTACGCATTTATACCAAAACATTATCAATTTTGTATATTATCAATTAACATTTATATACCTACAACATACTAGCTAATAGCTATCAGTAATTTGTTCATTGAAAGCTAAAAATAGCTTAAATAATAAATATTATTGACTAAAAAAAAAAGAAAATTAAATTTTGTTTTATAATTACTTGTAGAATTTAAAATAAAATGTATTGAATATATATATGTTTTATCATTTATTAGGTATTTAAATGAGCACATACCTAGGTTTAGGTATTTTCGTTCCATAATAATTTGTTTTCAACTGATCCCCCCCCATACAAAAGTTATGTATACGCCACTGGGTATGAGTTATATGTCATATAAATCAGCTCTATTACATTATTATTCAATTAACAAAGAAGTCTTCGATTATGTCTCTTTGCTTACCGACAATTCTTGAATACTACTTACTGTATAGTAGACAAATATACGATAGCAATACACTTTTTTTGATTCAATTAGATACCCTATTATTCGATATTAATATTTAATAAGAGTGTTTTTATAGTATTTGAGTTTGGGTATGACTTTAGCATTGCACTCGCGACTTATTTGCTTTATTAAAAAATGTATGATATATATATATATTTATATACGAAGTTTTTACCTTACTAACCATTTTTTATTATATGTTTTCTCTGACGAATTACATGTCAATATTTTCCCTCAAATCGTATGTGCCCTATCGTTTTTCCTTGAATCGCTTTTCTATAAATCATATAGTTCAAATCCATCGGTGAATCGAGACTAAACAAATACATTTAAAATATTAAAATCATACAGTTATGAATTGAAGAATGTCACATGTTTGTACATTTCATACTAAATCTTAGTAAATTGAATCCTGCATAGGGTTTAATCAGAACACCTAAAAATATATTTAAGTCTATTAATGATATGTCGTTGAAAACTTGACTTCAATATCCACGTCCACACAAACGTAATAGTAGGTACCCATATAAGCAATATTACTAAGGCAGGCGTTATATATTATTGCTTCAGCTAATAATCGTATTCGACGAAGTATACCTTCCCGTCATAATATTATGCACTCCGTTAAACTCGCTTAAGCTAAACACCCGTAACGGCTTTGAGTTTCAAATAAATAAATAAAATTGAAAAAAATACGAAAAACAGTTGGGTAGAGGCTAGGTAGCATAAATTATGAGGATCGCGACAAAAAAAAAAAACGCAGAAAAGGATTTCGATGTTTTCATCACATGAGCAGGCGCGTTGAGGAGCTTTTTATGTAATATTGGTCAGGCCAACATACACTCGACTGCACTATAATCCATACAGCTGAAATGTAAACGCTTTATATTGAACAACTATATAATAACGCACATGCAGAGTACCTATATAATCTATATTGTATGAAAATGGGTTTTGTATACGAGGTCGATGCGGTAGAGTACTACAGCGAGTATATTACTGCACATCACGGATGGACGATGTGCTGCACCGTTGTAGGAGATAAATCAGAAAATGTATTATATGAAAATATATTTACATAATAAACCATAATTATTTCTATTATTTCTGTTTCGCTATTTCGGGACATGATTTTTCACTATTACAACATCATATTTTTAATGTGCGAAACGAAACACGATCAAAATATTATAATCGCTAATATTATAATATTATATTGTTATACAGTGGTATAATATTAATAATATATTATTGTGTTCGACATTTGAATCGATTTTTAATTTTACGAAAATCATTCGACAAATATTCAAAATATACGTTATATTGATTCGTTTCTATCAATTAATTGTCTTACCTCATCGTGTTACTTTTACAATGTCATAATAATAATATGATAATTGAATCTTCTCTCTGTGGCTTTTCGATCATTATAATAAGTAAATTTGGAGAAATAATAGAAAAAGATTGATATACTCTTCAACAATAAAATATATTTTTTAGTGATCTATTAAATTCCACAGAAAAATAACGTTTTTATTGTAGTCTGAAAAATGGAAATCGTTTGTTATCAGATGTTAAATAGGTAATAATATTTCAGTTACCGATACTGTAAAATTGTTTTAAATAAATAAATCTTACACTCGTCGTTTCTCGCGAGATACTCTTAGGGAGGTACTCGACGTGGTAAAATACTTATACGTGAGCTGCTTGGAACCTTGACCCTTTTATTAACACAAAAAAGATTCAACGTTATTTGGTATAAAAAAATTAAAATAAATATGTACCTAACGCTTTTGAGTTATTTTACGTTAAAATATTTTACTTAAGCTCCATGTGAGTATTTTCATTATATACTGCAGAAACGTGATAGTATAGAATGCGTGTGTAATCTAATTGAGTTTAAATTTCACTTGAACGCCATTCACATAGTAGTACGAATGTTCATTGTACAAAATCATCGGTGTGCAAAATATAAAAATATATTGTTCATCTTTATTATAAACCTAGGACCGCCCTAGAGTATGATGTTTAGATGCACCCACGCAGTAATTAAACTATATAATATTAATATAAGCTAAAACGTTACCCCTCCCCCACCATAACCACTATTACCCCTCCAAGCCATGTGAAACCACCAGGACGAAAACTCCCTTAAACCCCCCGCTCGTTTCATTCCCACCGACAACACCACGCTTCCCGGTTCACTCGTTACTCCGCCATCCCATCATGACGCATAATACGGTATGCACTACCCATGTAATACCATACCCTCATAATATAAATATAATATAATGTTATATATTATAAACACTCGTCTGACGCGAAAAACTTTGCACGATCGTTTTCGCAGGGTCAAGTTGATCGAGTGCTCGGCCAAGGACAACTTGAACGTGCGCGATCTGTTCAAGTGCTTGCTGGTGCTGTCCCGGAAGATGAACGGGCCGGAAGACCAGGCGGCGTGCCCTCTGAAGCGCCGGTCCAGCGCGTACGTCAGCCACACCAAGTCGTCGAGGCGCGCCGCGGAGAACGCGGGAGGAGCCGCCACGACTTCCGGTCCGGCGGGAGGCGCTTCCGGTCACGGCCGCGACGAGCACCAGCTCCAGCAGCAACAGCAGCAGCAGCAACAGGAACGGGCGAAACCGCGCAGCCGCAGTCTGATCAGACGGTGCAGCCGGAAGGCCAAACAACAGATCAGGGACACGACCACCGGTGGAGGTGGAGGTGGGGGTAACGGTGGCGGTGTGGACGACTGCAACGTCAGCTAAATGCTCGCATAATAATGATTTAAATATTTAATATACATACACGATATATCTACCTACCTACATAATAATAATAATAATAATTATATAGTTTCTTCAGTTGTCCGACAAGAGCAAAATTCACACTCGTACTACACAACATTTTCATGATTTTGTCATTTTAGACTCATAATTATAATTATTATAATATTATACCGCGTGTACTACCTATCATACTAAAATATTATTGTACGAAATTTTTGTATTGTTTTGTGAATTTTTAACAACGCCCCCCCCCCCCCCACATACAAAAATCGGTCCCGACGTTTTATTATTTTTCGTTTGCTTTAACCACGTGTAATAGCCATCGGCTAGTTATTTTTCAGTTATTTTTCCTTCCGTTTCATTACCTAGTATACAACTACAACCACTGTCCTATAAACATTGGTTAACGTTTTGTTCGTTTTGGGTGTGCTCAAATAATAAAAACTATTATTATATGCGTCATTGACGTGCCTCGTGAAGCTACGGGATACCTACCCATGTATACCATAATATATAGGTACCGCAACATTATATGATAATAAAATAATAATATTAATAAAACGTCTCTTGAGCGGTATTACAACGCATTTAAGACGAAATATCAAGAACAATTTTCAAGTTTCACATCCCCCTCGCACATTTTGTATATAATATTAATATAATATAACATGCACACTCTGTATATATGTGTCGTTCATAATTCGTGTCTGTCAGTCCAATGTAGCCGACACTGAAACGACAAATTCACTTTTTTATTTCTATATTACATTAAATTTCTTGCACCAGGCGTAGGTACTTTTAACAGTACCGATATACCTACTTGTATTTAGTTATATCATAGTTAAGTTATGTACTAAAATCTTATGCTCCCTTCGGCGTCGGATCGTATATATTAAAATAGTTTTGTGTCAAATTATGACCACTGTCCTTATAAAGTATACACCCATTATAATTATAATTATAAACTATATTATATCATTATGCCGTCATGATATTTGAGTAAATTCAACATGTTTTAAATTTGATTAAAAACTAATTAATCATTATTATAATAATAATTTTATTTTTCTTACACTGTATTTATTTGTTTTTCTGATTAGAAAATGCTATAAACGTACAAACTAAATTTTGGTTATATTATGTTATGTTCTATTATTTTTGGTTTTACAATTCGTATTGACTGGAAAGTAATTATCATATTATTATCATTTATTTATGGGTGATTGGTTTCAAACGACGTCATGATTTTTGGGGAACAGTTTACATTAATTATCAAAACCACTGGTTTCGGCCGTGTTTAAAATGTAAATATAATAATTAATAAATCATTTTGACATAACTAATACTATAATTTTATTTTAATGTTCAGTGTGTTTTGTTACGAATTATTTAATCTAATAAACACGTTTTAAATATATAATTGACGGTGATCAGATGATTTTCATTACACCGGTTATCGTCTTTATTTCGTGTAAATATTTTATTAATTTGAATATTTAATACGCTAACCTGTAATCTCTGATTTCACTGGTACAACATCTATGAATTAAACAATAAACGTGATAAATTGTAGTAAGTTCGTTAATTTATGTGCCATTGATTTCCATGTGCTTCCATAAGCGTATTGTTCAAATAGTCAACCTATGTAGGTACGATAAAAGAATGTCTAAACATACAATAATAATATATTAGTCATTTAATTAAATAACAAACCAACATAATATTATAATGTTAAATATCAGACATATATATAAATACATACTTTTTATTAATATTTGCATTTAAAATATTTATCTTAATTTGTTCACGAAGCGTTTCCAAAAATAAATGTGTACTCTAAAAGCACCTAAAACTACACGATACCTATAATACTACTAAACTATACGCAATGTATTTATTCGTCCAAGTTATTGATTACTATTATTATTCTCATTCTATATTCGATGTTACTAAATACATTTTAATAACTTAGATAAACTTACCATTCGACTAAATATATTATTATATATTTACAGTTTTCAAATACAAGCAATCGCTTACATTATAAAATAGTAATAGTAACCTACATAAAGTACCCATAGTTAACAATGTATAAAACAAAAATAGCTGAATTTATCTAGAGGAAAACATCCGTGAAAAGAAGTCTCAAATAAAAGGTCATATATACTTAATTATAATATTAATAATGTATATTATTATGTGTAATATCACCATTAATGCCTATGTACATAATATTAATTTGTTAATCAATCATGTCGTTTGATATTTTGTTGAATAATAACATAATCTAACAGTGCAGCTAAATTATAAGATTATGACGTGTAATAATATGTGCATCTTCATTGCATATTTTGTATAATTATCAATATTAATGTCTATAATATACTTACTAGGTAAAAAGGTATTGAAAAAAAAAATACGATAAAATAACTGTTTGTAAATGTCCTTTTAAAATGTCGACGGGGTAGCGGGTTATGGGTTCTCAAATACCGCCTGCGAGCGCCTTTCAGTATATAATAAAAATCGAAAACGTGAAAAATATTACTTGTTATTTCTCATTTTTCAAACATAAAATAGGTATGTCAAAATATAGTGTCGTAATTATATCCCCGTAAGTGGCATTCGTTGAGTGAAAATTAATTTAGTCCAATCGGGAATAAGCAGGGATAATAATAATTAATTACGTATTTTTTTCTATGGATGTTTTCACAATGCTATAAAAAAAAATTACATTCATTAAAAATAAAAATATTATCACACTAATGACATACATTTTAAACCATAAAAGTTCATGGAAACCGCTGGCGATATCAGTTTATTAGTGAATATAATTGTTAAAACATGACATGATTTTCATGTTTTTAATAATCAATTCAGTTAATGGGTTTTACATACTATAATATGTTCCCTAGATAGAAAAAGTTCGATTTTATTATGGTCTTGTGCAGTTCATTTTAATTGGACGAAACTAATTAATTGTCTACAATGATTTTTCCATTAATTCGAATTTAAAATAATAAAAAAATCAGTAAACAACACTGCTTTCATGTCACTTTAATTTGTATAATTTTAATCAGGCTATGGTGCAACTAATAAACACAATAGTTTATTATTGTTTTCATTTTTTTTTTTACAACAGTCTTCAACAATTTTAAAGAGCATTATATTACCCTACTAATGATAAAATTAAAACACTCAATTTTTTTTTTTCTTTTACTTAAGTCGATTGTTTATTTTTTTTATTTAGACTAATTTTCCACTAAATTAATGATTACTTATTAACTCACTATATTATAATAAACAACTGAATCCGTTAATGATTACATTTAAGGGACCAGTAGAAATTGGTAGTTTTATCCTATACGTCGTTCTACTGACATTTATTTTACATTTATACATAATAAATTAAAGTTAGTTAAATTCATTAACATTTATAATATACAGTAAGGGAATAACAATGTTAAATTTAAAAAGATACATATTTATATATACATATACATATTACATACTAGATAATATATACACATAAATACATAATACATATTAAGAGTTTCCAAAAAAAAAACCATAATAATTTAACAATAATGGGTTAACAACCATAACAATTAATTGTAATAATAAGAAATTGTAATTAATAAAATTAAGAAATAAAAATTGTTTCTTAAATCATTATTTATTAAAAACTCCTAGGTACTAAAAAATCAAAAAAAAATCTAATGAATAATCTTTAGTGTATCGTCATCGGGTGTGAAGTTTTTTTGAAGTTATGAATTTTTCTCTTGTATTAAATTTATGGGCGTATTGCGTTTAAAGCACAAGTAAATTTGAGGAAATATGCACTCTAAATGTTGTGTTCATAAATAAAACACCAAATCAGTTAATGTTTAAGATAACCATAATGTACCTTCTAAGTTTATTTCAAAGTTTCCGACTACATTAAACTATTATAGCACACCGTATTTAAAGTTTCATATTCATAAAACATTTAAGTCAGTTTAATTTAAAACAGAACTTAAACAAATAATTTCTGTAATTGAATAATTTATAAAAAATTGTATTTGTTTTGCTCTATAACAATATGCATTATGTATGAGAATATACAAGATGACCCACCTCATTATTTTTGTTATGTTCCATTTTCATCGTTATACATTTTCTATGTTTTTACTTTTTTTAATATACATACATTTTCAATTTCATATGACAAAGTAGAATATATTTTGTTGAAGTGTTTTGATACATACAAATCAATTTTTAACGAGTAGTTAATTATTTATATGTATGCAAGTTTTTTATGAGCGGAGTATAGTGGCTAGGGCCACCAATTGATCCACTACACCTATCTTTTAAAAAGGTACTTAAATACTTATAACTAATTAACTTCTCGTTAAGAGTTCGATTTGTATATATCGAAGGACTCTAAAAAATATTCTGCTTCAGAATATTAAATCAACATTGTGTGTCGTCATTCAAATAAGTAAAAACTTAGAAATATCAAAACATATATTTATTTTTTAAATGTTGTTTTACAGCGACATCTTATAATTATGTAAAAAGTTAAAACATTTGGAAATAATGAATGTAAACCTTAAATGAATCATCTTGTATAGTTTTTTCAAAAAACCTCAGAACATAATTCTCATCCGTTAAAAAAAAGTTAAATATTTTACGATTTAAATACTAGATAAACATGTTTTTGTCTTGTAAGAATATCAATTTTTTCTTTCAATGTATTATATCAACCGATAAACGAATAAAGGACATATCGAATGTCCATGTGATATTTCACAATAACCCAGGAAAAAAAAATTGACTGATGGCGATCATGTATTTATTTTTATTTTTTAGTATAGATTACAATAATTTTTTTTATTCATTTTTTGTTAAGGAGGGAGCATCAAATTCACCACCAATATAGTTTAAGTAAGATAATATTTAAATTTCCAAATTTAATTTCAATAATCACCTTTAAGAAAAAA